AGCCTAGTGGTAAGAGGTGATGCTGTCAATACAAAGACATGCCATTTAAATCTACCAGCTGCTCTGAGGGAGAAAGTAGGGCATTCTCCTTACATGTGATTTACAGCCTCTGAAAACCTCTGGAGGGTCAGTTATGGATTGATTGTGACAAGGGCAATGAGTTGAACTGAATACATTCCATAATTGTGAGGATGGTCTGTGAGTGTTGTGTGCCCATGGCAGCGAATTTTCAAACCGAGGACAGCAGTAGAATGTTGTGGGATGGATGGTTGGTGTCAAAATTGTTAGAAAGATTGGAGAGAGATTATACACTTGACCTTCACTTCAGAGGAATCACTCTTGGTCTACTGATCTCCTTTCTTCCTTGGGACGAGGTAAGAGGCCAGGCACAGAAACTAACACACCAGTTTTCAGAGAGAGTTTTAGTTCTGGACAGAAGAGGGAAAATGGGACCAAGTAGACAAAGGCATTGATTGTGTACCTTCGTTTATTATAAAATTCACTCAGCGTCATTGAGTTGGTTGGATTTTCAACTCTAAATCTCAACAGGCAGAGACTGCCCATCCTTCTGAGGAATCACTGGAGAACGTGAAACCGCCAGGAGATGCACGCAGCCTTTTGTTTAGCGGGCACCTTGCTACTGACTCTGCCACCAGAACTCCCTTCATTTATAATAGACAAATGAAAGAACATTATAAATGAAATTGATGGTTTAGGAACTTGACCATATGTATTGGGAGGTTGAAGTGAGAGAGACTGATCTGACAGGCCAAAGGATAGTCCATAAGAGTGATATGTCATCAGAGTCAGAAACGGATAGCTGGTTTTATGAGTCTCAGAACTAAAGACTTGGGGAAATCAAAAGAATCTTAGAATTTTTATCTCAGAGCCGTAGATCCTTTAAGATTTGCCTGCTGCACAATCAACAGTGGAATGGATTTAAAGCAAAACTTCTGACTCTAAGTTTCCTTATTCCACAATCATTTTAAATAGTCATCTAGATTGAATCTTTCAAATAACTATGTCAGTGATCGTTGTTCTTTGTATACATTGAAACCATGGCTTCACTAATCCCATTTGGTGAGCAATTATTTAACCTTAATTTCCTCATAACACAAAGTTTATATATTTCTTGGTTCCTGTAATTGAGGACTGGAAGGATGAAAGGGGAATTCCCATGTGTTTTCTCTGGATACTATTCAGAAAGTTAAGTACATGAGTTATGGCAAAAGTTAAAATTTCAACCTGAAATATGAGAGAAGTTTCCTTCCACAATCAATGCCCTTGGGACCAGAAGTCAGACGATCAGAAGATGCATTGTACTGGGAAGTCAGGGACCTCTCCAAATTACAGAGAAACAATGATGAGGACCAATGTGCACCTGATCCAGGCCATGGTCTTTTCAATCACTTGCTATGCATTTGAGAGCTGGACAGTGAATAAGGATGAAAGAAAAAGAATTCATACCTTTGAGCTGTGCTTTTTGAGAAGAGTACTTACTATCTTATGTACTGCCAAAAGAACAAACAAATATGTCTTGGAGAAAGTGTAGCCAGAAGGCTCCTTGATGGTAAAGATGATACAGCTTTGTCTCACATACTTTGCTAGGAGAGGCTATTTCTTGGAAAGGGACTTTATGTTTGGAATGGTTGAGAGTTGGTAAAAAAGAGGAAGATCCTCAACCAGAAGGTTTGACACAGTGAATGCTCCAATAGTGTCGAGTATGTCAGAGAATGTGAAGATGGCACAAAATAGAACAGCTTTCAGATCTCTTGTTCATAGGGTCACCATGAGTTGTACTCGACAGCATCTAACAACAAAAATAATGTCAGTAATACACATCATGTTTGGTGAGTAGTTACTTAATCCTCATTTCAAAATAATAAAAGTTGCTACATTTCTTGGTTCCTGGAATTAGGGAGGTTGAGCAGGAATTCCCACATGGCTCCTCTGGATTCTATTCAGAAAGTCAGGTGAGTGAGTTAAGACAAAGTTAGAATTTCAGCTAGAAGTATGAGAGAAGTTTCCTTCTCATCAATCACAGGCAGCATACTTTTTCAACATAGCTTTTATCTTGTCTGAGATTCATTTTATAAAAGGAACGTGGATCTGATGGATTTTATTTCAGTGTAGAAAGATACATAGAAACACTTGGAAGTTGTTTATCTTGGAAAGTGGAAGATGAGTATCTTGGAAGTCAACAAATTAGGATAATGGATACAGACCATTGAAATTGAAGAACTTCAAATTATTAAAACAATAAGAAACAAATTTCTAAATTTAGATCAGGTGAAGATTAGAAGTAAGCCAATCTCAGTGATTGCAGAATTGTTGAAATCTGAGATTTAAACCTTAAAAGAAAATTTTTACATCTTCAATCAATTCACATTCAAATAGTACTGGTTCTAGTAAAATCTATGCCAAAAAATTGAATTCATAAAAGGAGAAAATATTTTATAGAATTTAGAATCCTGTAAAATCTTCAGGCGTTCTCAGACAAGAGTCTAATAACAGAAGTTGACACACTATTTCTGGAACTACAAAAGCAAAAGATGGATAACCCAATTACAAAATGGATAAAAGACATGGGAAGACTTTTCACACATGAAAAGGTGGCCAACAGACACATGAAGAAGTGCTCAAAATCACTAATAGAGATGCAAATCAAACCCATAATGAGATACTGTCTCACCCCAGTAGCAGTGGTAAAGTTTAGCAGGAAGTTAGAGAGGATGTATAGAGATGGGGGGAAAATTTCTTTAGACGTTGAGAACTATCTTGCGGCCTCTTTCCTTTAGGGATAAAGGTAAAATTTAGCCCACTCTTTGTATGATTACAAAGTTTGCTCTGTGGAAGCAGGATTGAAGTATTTGTTGTAATGTTGTTGTTGTTATGTGCCGTCGAGCCACCTGAGACTCATAGCAACCCTATGTACAACAGCCCTAAACTCTGCTCTGTCCTGTGCCAATAGCACCGTCTCTGATTCACCCATCCCAATTACCCCAGTCACTGAATCAATCCACCTCAATTCCCCTCCTGCACTGTCCCTCCACCCTACCAAGCATGATGTCCTTCTCCAAGGACTGGTCCCTTCTTACAACATGTCCACAGTATGTTAGACGGAGCCTCAGAATCCTTGCCTCCAGGGAGCGGCTCTGTTTAACCCTTTCCAGGGTGAATCTGTTTGTTTTTCTAGCAGTCCATGGTACCCTCAGTGCTCTTCTCCAGCTCCACAGCTCAAAGGCATCAATTCTCCTTCTATCCTCCTTAGTCATTGTCCAACTCTCTGATGCATTTGTTGTAATAACGAAGATAAATACAGTAAAGTGCCTTTTCGTATAAGGGAGAATGTTCTCAGAGTTAGTAAAATCTTGATCACACTGAAAGTGATCACAGTATATGGTCCTGGACAAAGTAGAAGAAGAATGAGGAACAAAACTCAAAATCACAAAATGACCAGGCTTGTTGGTCTAATAACAACAGCTGGAACCCTGGAGACTATGGGCCTTAGTCATGTTTTGAGGTTGTGTCTCAACTGTCAGCCAAATGATAGACATATTTTTAAGGTGAACTACAACATCAAAGAAGTACTCATTCCTTAGAACAACTAATCAAACAAGTTAAAAAAAAAAATATGTTTGCCCAGGAGGAAAGTTTGGAAGGCAAGAACGGATAGAACTGAAGGCTGACCACAAATGAATATCACAGGGAAGAAGAGGGAAGAGTGTTATTATAACGTGTTCTTCTTGTTGATGTTGTTGTGTACCGTAGAGTCAAATCTGATCCATAGCTGACCCTTAAGTGGGTTTTTAGAGACACTTAATTGCATGGGAGGAGATTGTCCATCCTTCTCCCCTGGTGGGCTCAAACCACTTTCTTTATGAGCTGCAGCACAACTTCTTGCCACTAGGCCACCAGAACTCCCTATCGTAATGTAGAGACTGTTATTAATACAACAGAACAAAGTCTGTATGAGTTACTGAACGGAAATCCAAATACTTTTTAAACTCTCACTCAAGACACAATTTGAAAAATAGCAACGTTTAGTTATGGAACTTTGTAAGCAGGAGTGGCATCCACTTCTGAACAACATGCCTCTGGAAACTCTATGAGAAACAACGATAGTTATAGAAAGGCTTCAGGTCTTTTGTTCATAGGATCACTATAAGTCATGCTCAATTCGACAGCAATCAACAACAACAAAAATTATGGAAAACTCTGGCCTAACAAGCATAAGCTTGATGTCTGCTGATGTTCTCTAATGATGTGAAAATTGCGGGCACTGGTCGTGAGCATGAGTGTCCAGACTTTCATGTGTATGTATCTGTTCTTTGTTAGTCTGTGACCTGTGTTAGAACTGGGGCTTTTCTTACAATCTATGTTCTATGTCCATCACAACCATATGCATAACAACAAACCAGAAAACTCCACTGCCGTGGAGTCGATTCCAACTCAGGGCCACGCTCCACCGGGTTCCCAGTATTGTCCATCTTTCTCTCCTGGAGAAGCTGCTATATTGGATTTGTTGACATTTCTTTAGCAGCCTACCATAGACTGTGCTAGGGTACCAGGGCCATTTACATATGTGATACATTCTCAATAAATTACTATTTATATTCAACATTGTTATTATTGTTCAACATTGGCCTTATTATTGGAAATATTGACTTACCAGGAAAATACAGTTTATTAAAGGAAAGGTTTCACTATGTGTTTGAGCTGAGGTGAATGCGTTGGGCTGGCTTCTGAGTTCCACATTTAGAGTTATGCCAGCCTCTGAATAATGTCAACACAGCTCTGTCTGCTTGAGTCAACTCACACAACTTCTTCCGGTGTCATTCTTTTTGCACAACATTCTTTCTGAGTGCTGTATTGTGTAACACATTCATGAGAAAACATAAAAAGCTGATCGCTTGTGGTGCTATAGTGTAAAAGTTTTTCTAGCGATTCAGAGTGCAAAAGTCTGAACATATTTTCTCAAAGATCACCACAGTTTGGCTATGATTGGTTCACAATTTCCAAAATATGTGGCATTGTCTGCTCTCTTTGTTCTAAATGTTGGTGCTCTGGATACTTTTATTGCAGCAGTTTATGAGCATGCTGTTATATTACCAAACAGAACAGAAGAAACACCTGTGTCAAAAGACGATGCTTTGGTCCTAATGAACAAGAACATAGACGTTTTGGAGAAAGCAGTAAAGCTGGCAGCTAAGCAGGTAATGTCTTTTTTATACTGTTCTGGCTACTGTCATATTGGAAATTGGAGGAAATTTGGAACCTATGAGGTGCCCTTTTCTACTTGTTTTAAGCAGGGTGCCCATATCATTGTGACTCCAGAAGATGGCATATATGGTTGGATTTTCACAAGAGAAACCATTTACCCTTACTTAGAGGATATCCCAGATCCCAAAGTGAATTGGATTCCATGTGGAGACCCCCAAAGGTAACCCTTGATGTTTGAATGCAAACATGTGATGCTGTAAAAACACCAACAGTAAATTCACAAATCATAAAAAGTAATTTGATTATGAAGTAATTAACCTAGTTTATATCATTGGAACTAGATACCACGAATGTGTGCTTCCTTTTTTTAAATTTTAATCGAGATTTTATTGTAAGTTTATAAAGAACTTGGATTTCCATTCATTCATTGTACATTTTCCTCCCTGCCCCCCTCCTCCCAGTTTGTTTTTCTTTAGGAAAAAAGTTCTTTCATTGTTATACAGTCCCACCCACAGACCAATTTATTATGCAGCTCTTATTCTGGACTTTTGTAACACCAATAATACCTAATTATATATTTCTTTTATACAGTTCTCTCCCTTGTCCATTTCAATGCCATGTACATTATCTACCCCCTCTTTTCTTAGTTTCCCCCTACCCCTCCCCACCGCCAGTCAGGCCTGATGGTTTTTTTTTTGTTTTGTTATTTTGTTGGTTTTTATCCTACTAGTTTATTTATAAAATTAGAATACAAATTTGAATAAATTCTTTCAATTTCCCTCACCCCCCCATCAAATTGTACAACCCAAGCAATGATTAATTCCCCTTTCCCCCTGCACATCCACATCCACATACTCATTCTATAGTAACAGTTTTATACAGTATTTATCCTTATGGGACTGAGTTAGTTCACTCAGCATAATGCTCTCCAGGTAAATGTCTTGAAATGGTGATGCTTGGCTGCTTTTTTGTTAGTTTTCTTTAAAGAACAACTATACATATTTTTTAATATACAGTTGTTAAATTGTATTTTAACAAAGTAACAAAGTTGTAATATTCAAGATCTGTATTCTTAAACAGCAGTAAATTGTTTCATCCATGAATATTTTCATTTTTTTGTATAAATGGTGGAGAGATGAATGAGACTATGCTTCCAAAGGGCTGAAATATCAAGATTTTTTTGTAAAAGGATCAGTATAGTTTAGTGGAAATTAGACAGGACTTGCAAAAGGAAGAATCATTTCTGGGATCCACTCTCTATCACATCCAGAGTGCCATGTGACATGTAATTTAAATGTTTGAGAGCTCTATTTATCTGTAAATTAGGGATAATAAAATGTCTCTTCCTAATTTTGTTATGGAGTAATTAAATGAGTCAAATGAAATTAACACAGGACTGTACACTATAGAGTTCTTTTCAGTGAGAATTTTGCTGTTACCATTTTAAATGAGAGGATCTAGGTCCAGCTTGCTTTACTTTGCTGTGCTGAGAAATTTAAGTAATTATTAACAATAATAGTTTAGGCATCTTCTTAGAAGAATAACTGTATAGCACATGAAAAGATTTGTAAAATAGGTTGTTTCAAGTATAACTTTAAAAGAAATTTTAAAAATAATTAACATAAAATTCTTTAATGGTGAAATTAAGGCATTAAAAGTAATTTCATTTGATAATTTCAAATTTATACACTCTTGTTCTAAACTTCATCTATTGCATAAGTGAGGAAATTTCATAAATAAGTTTTATTGCAAAGTCAAGTCTAAAGTTATAGCATAAAAGCAGACTGAGTCAAGCCTCACCCTGGCTTTTTTTTCCTTTTATTTTAAATTATTATTTACAGAGATTTTGGGTTTTCATTCACTCATTGTTGCACTGTTTTCTCTACCCTCCTCCCCAGTTCGTTCTTCTTACCCCTCCCCCCGAATGTCTGTTTTAATTGTCCAGTTGTCACAGTGCTTGTCAAAGCCAGTTCTGATTAATCTCCTTTGTCAATGTGTCCTTTGCCATTCCCTATCACTCCTCCCTGAGAGAGACTTCACCCTGGCTTTTTTATGTCTGAATAATATGCATTAAAGGCTGAATGGTTTGTATGATTCATGCTTACATATGCCATGTAACTATGACCCAATGTCTAACTGGTTATGAAGCTTTTCCCAGAACAGGAGGGCTCACTATTTGTAATACCAAACTGGCTTATACTGAAAATACATTTTATTTGCCTAGGATAAAAAAACCCCTGGACTTTTCTAGGAGGAAGGCCTCCAGAAACCTTGTAACCAGCTAATCTTAGATAAACAATGACTAGTCTGAAAGGTAAAATGACAAATGAAACCTTAACATCATTGGGTTTTGAAAAAGCTGATTTCAACAAGTTTTCAGTTCTGTTATAATAAAAGATAAATTGATCATATAATGTAATTAGTAAGATTAATAAAGAAACTCACGGTTTCTTCTCCAGTAGCATTTGTCCCTAAATGAACTAATAGGAGACCACATGGTCATCCTTCTGTGTTTAAATACTATCATTTAGGATACTGACATGCCCCACACTTTCTTTTTGAGTAATTAATAGGAAATAGTAAAATATCTGAATCCCATGCCTAGGAAAATAATACAAAGTACATAGTAGAATTATTAAAAGTATTGACATAAATGTTGACATTACTGCTCCATTTTTCTAGAGGACCAAATAAGTGGTTTAAAACATGGTGAAGAGATTGAGATTGTTCACAGCTTCAGTTTGCTCGGCTCCACAGTCAACACTCTTGGCACCAGCAGTCAGGAAATAAAAAAGCATATCGTGATGGGAAAGTCTGCTGTTAGGGACCTCTCTAAAGTACTCAGGAGCAACGGTGTGTTTCTGGAGACTAAGGTGCACCTGATACAGGCCATGGTCTTTGCAATCGCTTGTTATGCATCAGAGAGTTGGACAATGTCTAGGGAGGACAGAAGGAGAGTTGATGCTTTTGAGCTTGTGGTGCTGGAGAAGAGTACTGAATGTACCATGCACTGCCAGGAAAACAAACAGATTCATCTTGGAGAGGATTAAACCAAGCTACTCCTTGGAGGCAAGGATTCTGGGGCTTCGTCTGACATACTTTGGACATGTTGCCAGGAGGAACGGGTCCTTGGAGAGGGACATCTTGCTTGGGAGGGTGGAGGGACAGTGCAGGAGGGGAAGACCCTCTATGAGATGGATTGATTCGGTGACTGGGGTGATCGGGATGGGTGTGTCAGAGGCAGTGTGGTTGGCGCAGGATAGAGCAGGGTTTAGGGGTGTTGTGTATAGGGTCGCTATGAGTCACAAACGACTCGACGGCACATAACCACAACAACAACAGTTTATCATAGCTTATCATTTCTATTAAAGGTTAGCACATCAATTGTAGAGAAGTTAAGAGATTGTATAAGAATTTGAATGGCCTCTAAAAGAAATAAAACCATCAGCATCCTAAATATAACCAGAAGAATTGCTCAACACTGCAGCACACAGGAAGTAGCATATGGTCAAGAACCAGTGGTACAAAAGGAAGCCACACCATAGTGGCGCTAAAGGCATTAGCAAACAATGAATCTCTAAGAATTAACGAAAAACCACTTGAGGCGTTTCAGTAAATGGATGCAGCTCTAGATGTGCTCACTCCTTTATGTCAAAGACTGGAAGACAGCTACCTGTCCAGCTGGCTGGAAGTAATCCATATATGTGATCATGCCAAAAAAAAGATAATCTAAAAAAATGTGGAAACAATTGAACAATATCTTTATTACCACATGCAAGCAAATTATTGCTGAAGATTGTTAAAAAATGATTGGAGTCATACATCAGCAGGGAACTTCCAGAAATTCAAGCTGGATTTAGAAGACACATCATTGCTGATGTCAGATGGATCTTTCCTGAAAGCAGAGAATGCTAGAAAGAGTTCACATGTGTTTTATTGAATATTATTGTTGTTCTGATTATGAGCCATTGAGTAGCCTGGAACTCATAGCGACTCTGTGTGCAACAGCTCTGAAGCCTGCCTTGTCCTGAGCCAGTTTCACTGACCCTAACAGACCTACCCCTGTTGCCTCAATTACTGTATCAATTCATCTCGTCCAGCATCTTCCTCCCCTGTACTGTCCCTCCACCCTTTCAAGCATGATGTCCTTCTCCAAAGACTGGTCCCTCCTGGCCACGTGCCCAAAGCATGTTAGATGGAGCTTCAATATCCTAACCCTCAAAGGAGAAACTTGGTTTCACCCCCTACAAGAAAGACATATTTATTTTCTTGGTGGTCCATGCTATGTTCAAGATTCTTCTCCAGCACCACCAACTCAGACATTGATTCTTCTTTTGTCGTTCTTAGTCATTGTCCAGCTCTCTGATGCCTAGGAATTCAAATGTGTGGAGCATGATAAATTATGAAAGATAGTGAGAAGAAGGAGAATTCCGGATCATCTAATTGTGTTTGTGCCAAACCTGCTGGTGAATCATGAAGCAATCACTGGAACAGAACAAGAAGATACTGTATGATTTCTAAGTAAGGAAAGGTGTGTGGCAAGGTAGGATCCTTCCACTATGCTTATTTAGTATGTATGCTGAGCACATTAATTGAGAAAAAGTGAGAAATGGAATTTTGCAGTCTGTTTTACATTTCTGGGAGTCGTGCTGCTAACCCAGAGGTTGGGCCTCCCTGGTATTCCAATCTACCAGGGGCTCCTTTGGAAGAAAGAAAGGAAATGTCACTGCTGAGATTAACAGTACTGGGGACTCTCTAGAGGGTCAGTTATGAGCCACTTTTGAATGGATCACAATGCGCCTTATGTCAGAAGAAACATAATAAAACAGATACTGCAGAAGAAAAAAAAATCATGTTCCATTTGAGTGATGAAGAAAAGAAAGTCTGCACAAAGAAGTGTCACTCTGACAGTTCAATGCTCTGCACTTGTTTTCTATAGGAGACCAACTACATGGGACCAGTTATTTACTGCCCTCTGCGGCCTCAGCTTCTGGCCACACTTTATATCAGCAAATGAATGTGTGGGGTTATGGCTTGGACTGCAGTGGACATCGCTCCCCATTAGAAGAATCCTGAAATGTCAAGTCCTTCCTTTATCTCTCTGGCTGGGAACCTTTAGGAGAGGCACTGTTGCTTTTCTTCTACCACCACTTTCATCTGTTTGCTCATTACTAGCTGAGCTGCAATGGGGAGGCCGAGACATTAAAATAGATTGGTCAATATAATAGTCACACAGATTTGCTTTGGAGATTTGGTTCCAGACCAGAGCAGTAAAGTGAATCACAAAATGAAGTAAATCACAGGAAAGTATTTGTTTTCCAAGTGCTTGTCACATATTGTTAAAACTTACTGTCATCTGTTAAGTGTACAACAGAAAATAAACAAAAAGCAACCTCAAGCTCATTGTTACGGTGTCAAAAGTGACCCATGATTGACCATCTAGTGAGTTCCAACTCTGTGAATCATACAGGAGACTATCCATTTTTCTCCCACAGAGCCACTGGTGGATTTAAATCACCAGAGAGGCATGAACTTTGTGCTGGTGGAGCACTGCCCTGAGGATTGGGCCACCGGGGTTCAATCGTGCAATTATGAAAAAGTTTGCAATAGTGTGAGAACTACTAACATGACACGGAGACATGAAGTGAGTTGATGTTAGAAAAAAATGATGCCAATAGACTTGCTTGACTCAGGATTTCCACAGACCTCAATTTGTAAAAAGACATAGCATCTGTGAAGCAAGATAAAGCAAAGCACAATATAGGAAGATATACTTGATAACTGGTTTTAAAACATTGTCTGGCACCACAACAAGATAAAGGTGAACAACCCAATTGAAAAATGGGCACAGGATATGAGCAGACTCTTCACCAAAGAAGACATTCAGATGGCCAACAAGCACATGAAGAAATGTTCAAAATACCTAGCTCTAGGAGAGATGCAAATCAAAACAACTATGACATATCATCTCACCCAAGTAAGAATAGCAAAATTTAACAGAACAGCAAACAACAAATGCTGGAGAGATTGTGAAGAAACTGGAACCCTTATTCACTGCTGGTGGGAATGTAAAATGGTGCAACAACTATGGAAGGCAGTATGGCGCTTTCTCAAAAAGTTGCAAATAGAAATAACATTTGACCCAGCAATCCCACTAATGCAAATATACCCCAATGAAATCATAACCACCAAGCAGATATATGCACACCCATGTTTATTGGTGCTTTGTTCACAATAGCAAAGAGTTGGAAACAACTGACGTGCCCATCAACAAACAAATGGATAGAGACACTGCGATTTATTCACATGATGGAATACTATGCTGCATTGAAAAACAAGGAACTCATGAAATATTATACAAAATGGGTGACCTTGGAGGACATTATGCTGAGGGAAATATCTCAGTCACAAAAGGACAAGTACTGCATAGTGTCACATTGGGGTTGGGGGAAGACTGAGAAAAATGGGATAAATTATGTATACTGCATTGAAACAGATGAAAAAAAGAACTGTTTAAAAGGGATCTATGATTAGGTATTCTGTACAGGAGTCCACAATGAAGGCTGCATAGTGGAGTGGACTTGTGGGGAGGGATTGTATAACAATGAAAGAATTTTTCTTTTACTTTTCATAGAGAAGAACAAACTGGGGGGAGGGGAGGTTGGGTAGGGAGAAAAGTGCAACAATGAATGAATGGAAATCCAAAGTCTCTGTAAACTTTTATTAAAATTAATAAAAAATAGAAAAAGAAAAAAATATCTGCTTATTCTTTACCTAGAGCTACAGGATTTTAACTCTCCAAAGCCAATGAATTACTTTCCAAGTAGCCGCTTCTAGATGCTGACCTTTCTGTTAACAGCCTATATCACACACTATGTCACTCTCAAAAAATCTCATTGTAGTCTAGTGAAAACCAGCTCATGGGGTTTCTGAGGTTGTAACTTGCATATGAGGAGAATGTCCATCTCCCTTTGGAGAAGCTGCTGATAGATTTGAACTTTTAAAAAAAAATAATTTTTAAAAATAATTTTAATGAACATTTACAGAGATTTTGGATTTCCATTCATTCATTGCTGCACTTCTCTCTCCGCCCAGCCTCCCCCACCCCAGTTCGCTCCTCTCTTTGAAAAGTAAAAGAAACACTCCTTTCCTGAGACACAATCCCCCCACACCCCTCCCACCGCCCCAAGTACATTCCACTATGCAACCTTAATTGTGGACTCTTGTGATAACCATAATACCCTATCATATATCACTTTTAAATTATTCACTCCCTCATCTGTTTCAGTGCAGTATACACAATTTATCCAGTTCTTCTCCATCTCACCCCAACACTGATATCAGGCCCATTTTACAGCAGTGGCACCATGCAATATTTGTCCTTTTGTGACTGAGATATTTCACTCAGCATAATGTCCTCCAGGCTCACTCATTTTGAATAATATTGCATGAGTTCCTTGTTTTTCAATGCAGCGTAATATTCCATCGTGTGAATATACCACAGCTTCTCTATCCATTTGTTTGTTGATAGGCACCTGGGTTGTTTCCAGCTCTTTGCTATTGTGAACAAAACCACGATAAACATGGGTGTGCATTAGATTTGAACTTTTGCCAGGGTTAGCAGCACACCACCCTATGGACTAAGCCATCAGAACTCCCTAACAATGTCCCTAGGGCTTCTTATAGGGTTATAGATAATAGGTAAATAAAAACATGACTTTGGTAGTTTAGGAGCCATGAATATATAATACGTTTAAAGCTATATCTATTGAATTAGGTTTGGTTATAATCCAGTACAAGTGAGACTCAGTTGCATGGCCAAGGACAACTCTATTTACATTGTGGCAAATGTCGGAGATAAGAAGCCATGTGATGCCAAAGACCCCCAGTGCCCTGCTGATGGCCGTTACCAGTACAACACTAACGTGGTGTTTGATTCTGAGGGTAAGCTGGTGGCACGCTACCATAAGGTAAGAACTGCAATGTTCAACTACAGCCCGATTAACTTACAACCTGATTAACTCTCTTTTTTTTTTCTTTTTTCCTGTGTGGTATAGATGCTTGTTAAATGCTACCAAGCGGACTGTTACAAATGTATCTCTTAATTACTGTATATTAATTGGAAGAGATAGTTCATTTCCCTAAGCCTTATTTAAGTTTCCTGAGTTTGACTTAACCATAAAATATAACATGACAAATTATTAGAGAGGATGTCATAATGACCATGACATATTTTAATATTATACGAAAAAGGAGAAAGGTTTAGTTTAATTCATGACTCAATTTTAGGATTATCTTTCCCCAATATGTTAATCTTTCATACGAAACCAAACTACCATTTGCTATGTCGACGTATATTGTTGTCATGCTATTATGGATCAACGATTGACAACAACTCATAGAAATCCTGTGAACAACACATCTGAACCTTGGCCTCTCCCACATCATTCTCATGATCTCTGATACGCTTGAGCACATTGTTACAGCCACTGTGTCAGTCCACCTTCTTGAGGGTTTTGCTTTCTGTCTCTGATCCTACACATTTCCCAGCATAATGTCTTTTTCAAAGGACTGGCCCCTTCTGACCACATGGCCAAAATATATGAGTCGTTTCATTATCCTTGCCTCTAAGGAATACCCTGGCTGCTCTTCTGCTAAGAATTTTTTTTTTTTGTTCCTTTGGCAGTCCATGGGATATTCAGTACTTTTCAAAACATCACAAATCAAAACATAGATTCTTCTTTGGTCAGCATTAGCTACTGTCCAACTTACCCATGATCAGGCACACCTTAGTCTTTAAACTGACATCGTTGCTCATTTTTTATATCTATCAGCTATAAAAGGCAGGTGCATTTAGCAGGTATATAAAATAAAAAGGTAGGTGTATTTAGTAGTTTTAGGTGTGAACTATCCCAGAGGCTTAACAGATTCTCTGCTACTCTACATTTTAGTCTTTTGTTACAAGTTTTCCCAAGCTGACTCTCCCCTTACAATCCTCATGACTTCAGCAACACAAAGCTTACATCCTTGTAACACAATCCAGAGGAAGAGTGTACTTATCCTTCAGTGGAAACCTTGCAAAACCCCTGATCAATTCTTAATTGCAGTTAGATCGATGTCTTCCCTAAGCCAATCACTTTAGAATGATAACAGGCTACCATGTGGGTGGTATGTGGAAGAGCAAGGGATCCAGGGGATCCTCAGTGAGGGACAAAGAGAGCAGGGGGTTCGTGGCTACTGCCAGAACATGCAAACGCACACAGTGAGTCAAATAAAAACCAAACAGAATATGCACTTTACACCTAAGCCCTAATCGGTCAAGTGACGTATTGGAGGAAAGATCAGGCTGAAAATATTACGAATGACTTACTGATTAATAAGAGGAAACCCCAACGGCACAGTGGATAAGTACTCAGTTGCAGC